GTTGACCTAACAAAAACTTGGTGCTGCTAGAATAGCTGCAATAAGATGTTAGAACAGCTTGTGACCACTTAGAACAAATCAGCTCTCTTGGCATCTATTTCCTGAGCAAATTAGAGACTTGGATTAATTAGAGACTTGGAGTTGTTATTTTGATATAGAAGAAAAAAAAATAAAACAAAGCTACCTACACACTACTCATGCTTTTCTGGCAAAACTACAAATCCTGCAAAAATTTCTTACTATTTTTATGTACTAATATAATATTTGGTATGTATTTTCAGACACCTTCCTGGGGCAGAAGGAGGCAGGATAGGACAGCAACTTCACAAAGTCCATGGATTTTAATTCAAGGAGTTTCCTTTGAGAGGCAGATAAACAATTGCAAGGTGCTCCATATTTGAGCTGCACAGTAACACACATCTCATGGATCAACTTTATGCACTGGGCTTGCCACTTTGTTCCAAATGTAATGTTAAGAAGTCAAACACCGTACCTCCTGCGTTTTTAGCATGTTGAATGGATTCTACAGTTTGTTGCATCACTCCGTCTTCCGCCGCTACGACCAGTATGACTATGTCAGTTACAGAGGTACCTCTTGCTCGCATGGCTGAAAAAGCTGCATGTCCGGGAGTATCAAGAAAAGTTATCTTTTCCCCAGAAGGCAGATGCACTGTGAACAATACATTTCACACAGGTTTATTTGACTTGCTGTAAACAAAGCAGTCAGTCATTTGATGACTTTTTTTATATATAAAACACAGATTTTTTTAAGGCAGACAGATAACTGGCATGGAGGTTAAAGGTACTTCTTCTCAGGGAAGAAAAAAGCACACTAGAATCCTTCATAATCCAAAATAGTCTAAAATTATTTCAGTTATACAATCCACTTGAAAGTTCCATCCACACAGTTGTAGAAGTTTGCCTAGTTTGGAGAAAGGAAGGCTAACTGCAAACCTCATTGCTCTACAACTTCCAGAGGAGGGGAAGTGGAGGAGGAGGCACTGTTCTCCTCCCCCCGGTAACCGATAACAGAACATGTGGGAACAGCACAAAGCTGCACTAGGGAAGGTTTGGACTGGACATTAGGAAAAAATTCTGGAGAGCAGTCCAAACACTCAACAGCCTTATTCCTTAATAACAGCCTTATTCCTTAATAACATGCTCTACTTTTTGGTTAGCCCTGAAATAGTCAGGCAGTTGGACCTGATGATCTTGGTAGGTCCCTTCCAAGTGAACGATTCCATTGCAGTTATCACAAGTTATGCTTTCCTTTTTAACTGCTTACATATAAACCGTGTATGCTGCAACATTTCCCCCAATAAACTGTCAGCAAGTCAGCCCATTGTGTAAGAGAAAATTGCTTTACACACATGCACGTACACTTGGATCATACCAAGAAAAGCACCGATGTGTTGTGTAATGCCTCCTGCTTCCATTGATGCCACTTGAGTTTTTCGTAGGCTGTCAAGTAAAGTTGTTTTCCCATGATCAACATGGCCCATTATAGTAACAACTGGGGGCCGTGGGGTTAATAAAGCTGGGTCTGCAGGGGGTCTGCAATCAAAACAAAAACACCTTTCATAAATACCAAAAAAGTTCACCAAGCCACCATCATGCCCAGTGTGGCTAACGAAAAGCCATTTACCAGAACTCAGTGATGAAGAGGTAAGCCTAGCTTCTCCCCACAGTAACTGCAAATCCTAGCTATAACACAGTTTGCCCTCTTAGCATTCAATCTTCCTGCTGCATCAAAAGATAAAGTTGGCTTTTCTTCAGAAAAACACGTAGAAAAAAACTCACCTAAAGCAAATCACACCGGAACATCAGTTTAATGCACAAAAATCAAAACAGTAAATTCTACCTTATAAATATTACACATTATGACCTTATCAGGTATCATCAACATACCATTAGAAGAAAGAAAACACAGTATATCAATAAGTGATGCAGAAACAAATAGGATAAAAAAGAGCAAAAAAGAATAGTTCACAATTTACCGTTTTACAGCATCTGTATTTTCTCTTTCTTTCTCTTCTTTCAGTTTTGCTGACTTATACTTCATTCCTGATTTTTTAACAATTAGCTTAATATAGTCCTCATTTAAAATGGAATCTGGTTCTACGGAACCAAGATCAATATCTGTGTACAGCAGGGCTTCATAAACATGATCTAGGGAAGAAAGAAAGATACTTAACAAATCCAAAAAAAAAAAAAAACACAAGAAAACAACACAAGGGACAGAAACACACTGTTTATTAATAGTTAAATACAATTTAAGATTTTGGGTTAGTAGGTTATATTGTAACAGTAAGTTTCATTCACGAAGCATTTTTGCTTTAGGTAGATTTATCTAGAAGTTGCTACAACCTTATTTTTCACTCAAATTTTCACAGCTTACTTTCCTACTTGAAACTCGTCTAAACTAAATAGCTAAGAAGTGATTCAAGGAGGAAGAAAATGTGATAAATCTGTTCATTTGTGACTTTCTCTGGCAGAAGAAATACGGGACAAATAGTCAAAGATTGTTTCACACTGACTTCAGCACCATTACCAATCTCCCTCTGAAACATACAGAGACATGACAGACTCTTGTTTCTCTCCTTCCTACTGAGAAAGAAGTTTGCCAGAAAAAATATATGGTTGAGAAGAAGAAATTGGCAATAGGACTGTTTTAATGCAACACAAATTGCTCCCGAACCCAACATCCTGCTCTCAGACAAGTATCTCAGGCTGAAGGTCTTTTGTGCCTTTTCTTTAGCCCCGAATTCTTTACGTAGCAGCTCTCATCCAGCTTAACAAACCAGGGTGCAATGTTTCTCCTACCGCAATGTAATCTAGCATTTTGGGAGCAGTCATAGTGTCCTGTCCAATAATTTGGATGGCCTAACATTTTTTCTCCTTAGACTGGCATCACGCCTACCCACATGTTCTTTTTCTCCAGTTAAATATCTTTGATGAAAGGAGTTACTTTGGTAATGGGCACAATCCACCTTGCCAAGGGAAGGATTAGGAACAACTAGCACCATCTCAGAACATTTTTGCCTTGACCACACATGGAAGCGTCGTGACTGACTAAAACACAACAGTTAAAATACACCCCAAGTAACAAAGCAGGCTCCCACCTATGTCTTTGCCCATTGCGTGTGCAAGTTCCTCAACCGTCATCTGCTGCTTTATCTCCACTTCACCTTTGGTCTGCGGCAATTTCTTCTTGTTCTTTTTCTTCTCCTATATGGAATTAGACATGTATATAGGAACATATAGCTGGCATAAACTAAGAAATAGTAAAAACAATATTAAAGAGACAATGGTCTCAAGCCACATCTTTTTGTCTATAATATGAATGAATTACAATAAATTAATGACTTAAAACATCACACTGAATATTTAAAATGTATAGCATTATGCCCTGATTTTTTTTTCCATATTCGTTCAAAACAAGGGGAAAAAAAAGTTCTCCTGCCTCTTCAAGATTCATGATGCTACTGGTATAAGTACTTCAAGTCAATATTTGAGAGAAGTAACAATGTAGTCTCAAATAAGTACATGTTGGCTCATAAACTTAGAATAGCTTCTGTAAAGTTCTCCTTTTTTGTTATAAAGCATTCAAACTGATTTTTTGTACTTTGAAATTTCACACAGAATCAGATATTATTGGATTTTATTAATTACCTCCTTTGTAGCTAGATATCTGTATTGAGATAAGGTGGCACTGCTTGATTTGTCTTTTTGCCAGAACCGTGGATACAGATGAACGGACTGTACGGGATACACAGATGACTGCACAGGCCTCCATTGTGCTCTGTTGACTTTCCTGTAGGAAACAGTACGCAGCTGTCGGCAAGCACCACGTAACTGGACCAGATTTTCAAACTTCGCTATCAACCCTCGATTCATTTCTTCACTGAAAATACAAAGGACACATTGAAATCAGTATCAAGGCTGGAAGTTGTTCTTTGCTATGACAATATGCACAGAAAAACAAGGCATAAACGCTATAATGCTTCAAAGCAGGTTTTTTGATACAGACAATGTTAAACTACTTAGTAGATCTGCTCATTTTTAATTTTCCTGAAGCACTTCACCTTCTGCCACTGTCACTATTCCAGTTCAGACATACGGATCTACTGATGTTGCCATAACTTACAAGTCTTCCGTCTGTCTTTGCTGACCTTTAATGGAAATTACTAAAATCCTAACTCGAGGTTCTTTGATACTACCTCAAAGAAGTGACATCTGTACCATACTGACAGACACCAAGTGCAACCTACCCAGTGCAACCTACCTCTCCCGCCAGTAAGACAAATTTGCAAAATGACACTTACACGAGCACATACCTCCACTAAGAGACTGTAGCGTTCTAATGATATTGTTTTAACGATACGATTCCATGATAACAGTGTTATTGCGTGCACGGAGACGTTTTTCTATGCTAAGGCTTGGCTTAGCAATTAAGCTTTTCAAGCTAGCTGTCAGATCCTCCCACATCTTTTAACCACGTTAACTGTGTTTTGAGTCATTTTGCTACCTACCCTGTAGCAGAGTCTCCTGTTCAAGCTACCCTTCTCGTTCAGTTCGCTATTTTGTGGCTCCTATCTACCTGCATTCCCGGCCCGTTCCCAGTACCTTGTGTGCTCTCACAGGCGGTGCTGTACCATCCTCCAAGCAGCACTCGGACCAGGCGCTATCCTCAGTCCCTCTCCACACGCCCACGGTCGCTTTAAAACCCCTCCTGCACCACAGCGCCTACAGGGAGCGAGCAGAGGACGAAGTAACCAACCCACAGCTCCTTTTTTCCCCCCTTAAAGAGCACTTGAAGGAACAGCCGGACACGCTCGCAGGGCACAAACGCCCTGAGCGGTCACCGGGCGGGCGCCGGGCTCCCCTCACACCCCGCGGCCCCTCACAGCCGGGCCCGCTGCGGGCGCCTCAACGGCCCCCAACCGTCCCCAACGGTCCCCAGCGGCCCGCCCCGCCGTGCGCAGGCGCGGCTCGTGAGGGCCCGGCGCTTGCGTGGTGCCGGAGCCGGAGCGGGGCGGCCCCGGGGCGGCCATGGCGGCGGCGGGGCTACGGGCGGCGCTGGAGCAGCGGCTGCGGGAGCTGGGCATCGCCGCGCTCACCGCCGAGCACCCGGAGGTACCGGGCCCGGCCCCCGCCGCTTCCCTCTGGCGCCTTCGAGCGAGCGCGGACGCGTGTGGGAAAGGAACGGGAAAGGGCGCGGGAGCAGCGCCTCGCGTTTTATTCGGGTTCTTGGGGAATTTCTTCATCAAAAGGCAGGGTTTTGGGGCTGAGCGGGACACGCGGCGTTTGGTAAATGTTTAACAAGAGCTGCCGGTGAGGCTGCCTCACCCGCCAGCCTCACACGACGCTCGTTGTGCTCCGCAGGTGTTCACGGTTGAGGAGATGATGCCCCACGTCCAACACCTGAAGGGAGGGCACAGCAAAAACCTTTTCCTCAGAGACAAGAAGAAGAAAGGCTTCTGGCTGGTGACCGTCCTGCACGACAGGCAGATCAACCTGAACGAGCTTGCCAAAAAACTGGGCGTTGGCAGCGGAAACCTGAGGTTTGCTGATGAAAATGCCATGCTGGAAAAACTGAAAGTGGGCCAAGGCTGCGCCACGCCGCTGGCCCTCTTCTGCGACCAAGGAGACGTGAAGTTCGTGCTGGATGCTGGCTTCCTGGAGGGGGGCCACGAGAAGGTGTATTTCCATCCCATGACGAACTCTGCAACCATGGGCCTAAGCCCTGAGGACTTCATGAAGTTTGTGAAATCGACAGGCCACGATCCCATAATCATACATTTTGATGAAGACAGTAAATAGGAGAAGTTGACGTTTTTATTACTCGGCAAAGATTTTATAGAGCAAAACTGGTTAATTTTTTTATTACAAATACAATTTGAAAAAATAGGCATCCTCCTTCTTATGTTGTATAATCTGGTGAGGAAAAAATACGGTATTTCAGCTGTTAAAAGTTTTAACAGAATATTCTTACAAAGAAAAGATGATTGCGATGTACCTGTAAGTAAACAAGTAGAAACGGAATTTTATGTTGTGGAACTTTTTGTGTGTGGTACTGGGCTTGAAGATCTAAATTAAGAAATAATGAGTTAGCAGGTCTAAACTATTTGTTGACACTTCTGTCCTATGTGCTTTTTTTTTTTTTAAACTATATCCATTTATCCCCTACTATGTTACCTTTTATTTTTTTCCTTATTTTTAATCTAGAAAAAAGTAACTTAGTTGCACTACAGAAAATGTACTTGATTGTCTACATTTTTAGCTGCATTTTCACTCTCCCAGTATCCTCCCTTCAGGAACTAACTACTAGGTCTTCTGGTAATTCCCAGATGATGTGACTACTAGCGGCTGCGTTAGGGCAACGAGAACGAGAAGGAGACATCTGAAAGCAGAGAGGGGTGCAACAAAGGAAAAGAGCTTTAAGGAACAGTGTTATTGCAAGTTCCTGTAATTGCAGTGTTACCTGAAGATTCCTGGGAGGAAAGTAAATACAGCCTGGCACTGCGTTTTTGTGTGCAATTTCTACTGGTTCATGGGGAAGATGTGCATATTCTCTGCTCCACTGTACCCTTTTAACCAGGTGCCTACAGAAGTGGAAAGAACAGTGGGACAGCAGACATACTTGAGTTTCTCCCTTCAGAAGGGGACTGAACATGCAAACATCCCCATGTTTAAAAGGTTGTGGGGAGGTTGATTTTGCTTTAAATACAGGATATATTTAGTATAGAAGAGTATCTACTATCACAAGTACAAGACCAGCACATTCTCAACATTGAATTTCTAATCTTTCTCCTCTCTCCTACCTAAACAAATAAAACTCCCTTCAAAAGACTTTCTTTGTATTAAGACAGAAGAAGCAGAAACTCCATGGAGTCCAGCAGAAATACTGTGGTAATGAGTACCCCTTAAAAACCAGACACAGGAGTTCTGAAAGTGTGAAATTTGAAGATGACAGGGAAGAGGGCTTTTAAACACAGCCTAATGAAAGTGTCTGTTGTGCAAGAACAATGCCTAAAGGCGAGCAGTAGGGTGAGCACAGAGAAAAATGAAAAAAAAAAACAAAACAAAACCAACCAGTTATATAAAAGGACTATTTTTGCTACCGTATCATGCTAAAGGATGCAATACTAATAGTGATCAAGGGAAACACTTTAAATCAACAAAAGGCAAAAATCACCCAATTTGACTCAGTTTCATTATATATAGCCAAGGCAATTCTAGGAGCTGAGAACATGAACAGTTCTCCCAGGCCCCAGTGAAATCTTGAAAATTAATAACTTCCATTAACTGAGTTAATTAAGAAAAAAAAGCTGCTTCTAGGACAAGACAAGGTATTTCAAACATTGTTAACATGTTTTCCTTTATTTCAGAGAGATTTGGCACCTGTTCTCACATATGAACAGAACTACAGCATACTTCACGATATAGCAGTTTAAGTTCTCCTTGTCTACTTTGGAAAGACAGAAACTGATCCCATCTATAATGGCAGTTGGCTCAAATGAGAAAGAAGCGACCTAAAAATGCTGAATATAGATAGAAACCTGTATAAGAGTCACAAAAAGATGTCCAGATACACATGGCTGTATACTTTTTGTTACATCAAAGGCTAAAATGAACATCTGTTGTTTGGGAATACTGGGTTGATTAATGGACTGCCTGGGGAACTTTGGGTTGACAGATGTGTTACTGAAATACCTAGATATTAAGATACAGTCTTAGGTATCTTTAAAAGTGAAATTTATCTTACCCTCTGCCTGCCACTCACTCTCCCTTCCTTTTAGGGTTTCTTCTTCGTGCTACCCCCAAAATCCTTTATCACTTCCAAGAAGAAAAAAAAAGAGTAAATGCAACTTGTCAACTTTAAAAAAACACAGAATTTAAATGTGAAAGATGAGTTTAAAAGACATGCACAATAGCCGTTTACTATGCTTCACGAATCTTAAAATCTGTACAACTTAAACTTCAACTACCTTCATCTTTAGAAGAGATTCTGAGACTTGTTCCAGCAAAAATAATGACCAAGCAAAACTAAAGTATCAAATACTGCACTTGGCAAATATGCAATGAGTTCTTATTGTATGAAATTAGTGTTGTTTTGTTTGTTTTTTTTTAAATAATATTAAAATAATGTATAGTTAAAAGCTACACAGATTTTTACAAATAAGCAACACAAAAACAAACTACACACTGTCCAGAAAATTTCTGCTACAGTTTTATAGGTTTCCTTCCAGAAGAAATAGTCACTAAACACATTACCGTCAACAACGCCATTACTTAACACCAATATTCTTCCAGTAACATCAGTTTCCAGAAAAAGTGTGTATAAATGTACACACAAAATAAGAATAAAAATTATTTGGTTCGGCATTTTAATAACATCATTAATAAATGTATACAATGGCAAACATTAAAAAAATCAGTATGTAAAGGAAATTACAGTTTTAAATAAGAGCTTTTTAAGTTTTGTTTCACACCTAGGTACATTCCTTTAAGGCAGTTTTATTAATATCAAAGCATTATTTACATATACATTATCATCTACCTCTAAGAATCATACATGAGCTCCTTTGTTTAGGCTGCATCATGTCTTGGAAAAAGTTTAAAAATAATACACGTGGGAATGTTACTAAATCCTCAGCAGACTACCAGCAAAGCAAATGAAAATTACACATTGTACGGTATTAAAACATCTTTTGTAAACTTGAACTAACAGGAACACATTTGGCAACTCTTAACTCTTGCTGAAAACAGCTATGTACTCTTGTTGTAGGCTGCCCACCAGCTGCTGTGTTACTCTTCTGGGCGTCTGTGCTTCAAAAAAAGGGGTCGTGGCTCCCAAATTACGTTGTTTTTTTTTTTTTTTTTTTAATTTAATGGGCACAGACTGGAAAGATTAAGTGCGTTATGTAAGTTTTGTACCAATTCAGAAAGGAAAAAAAATCATCATCATCATCAGAGCACAGAGAACATCCGGACAGCTCTTCTGCTCTGAAACTTCTCCGCAGAAGAAGGTGCTGGGAATATAACCCCGGTGCTGCTTTTGGATAATTCAGTCAACACAAACCAAAATCCCCTCTGCACTGATGCAGCCTGAGCGCCTTGAAACCTGCTCATGATGGCGCAGATGGACACTAGCGAGGCCTCTGGCATGCAGATGCACCTACGCTAGGCTGCACCTAGCGGGATGCATTCTGTTGTCTCGCCCTCAAATTCCTGCTGATTCTCTCAGGCAAGGAAGATTTGCCGAGTTTTTTGGGTAAGGGGATTTCACTTCCAATACATGTCATCAGTTGAATAGTAATTGTGATGTTTGTGACTAAACATCCTGGTTGTGACTGCATAGCCATTCTTTAAGATGTGACAATATACAAAAAGCAAGCGTAGGAAGCTGTGATGGGGTATCTTGGACAACTTCAGGAATATAAAAAAAAGCTAATAAATGAAGAGTCAGGAGATGCCCCTGTGAAGGAAATGGCACAGCCACATGTGAGAGCACAAGGTTATGTGTGTCCAACAATGTTCCCTGCAGAGAAGCATGCTGTGCATCAGTCATGGCAACACACCTTTCTCTCACACATTCCCAGGGTCTTCGAGTACATGGTATACCTAAGCACATACAACTGCACAGATTCTGTGAATACAAAAAACATTTGGCACTAGAGGTTAAATCTGTTAATCCAAGATACTTGTTCTTCTAAAAATAGTGATGCTACTTCAGTCAGGGTTTAATAGTTTGGAATGCATCGGTCCTCTGTTGTTGAGGAGAGCTTCTGGAAGAATCCACCAACAGTCAGACCCTGAAGCGAGCCTGAAAAGTATCAAAATTCAGAATAGGAGATGCTTTCCTAACATTTACCATATTTCAATTCTCTTTCAGAAAGAGCTGTGCTCTTAGTAAGGGCTACTGACATTACCAATTTCATGCTCTACGAAATGATGTAAAGGCAAGTGTCCCTTCAGGATCTATGGCTGTGCCACTACTGCAGTACAGGAATGGCACAGAGATCAGGCTTGAGACCAAGTTCTTATTGCTTAAAGTATTTTTCTCCTAGAGCACACCAGGGCTCTGCCTGGCTCACCTGGTACTGTGGGAGAAACTCAGCCATGCCCTGAGCTCTGAGTGCATACAGGAACACCCAAGTTACCTGCAGTACAGACGTGCCATGACACACCCTGCCTGTTCTGGCCACTGCCATACATCCCACCTGCCCCTCTGGTGACATCTGGTAGCTGTCATTGCACAGTCTGGAGTGCTCTGAAACCTTCCCCAAAAGGTCATATTGCCAGTTACAGCATGGGAAATTATTCCATGTGCAACTGAGCTCAGCCTGCCTACAAAAACATTGTGGAACTGGATTTCAGGAACACTCTAGGCTTCAGATCACTCCTGGAGCTGCTGAACTCTGTTCATACAACATCTGGACATGGAGAATAAGGGGACCAGAAACAGATCCTAGTATGAGTTGGTAACCAAAGTAAACTAATGAATTTAATAAAACACCAAAAACGTCTTTAGAGGAAGAATGGAAATTCTATATGGTGGAAAGCTGCTAAATTCATCCTATCTTCACTTAAGGGGGTGGGGGAATAAAATTCTTTGTGGAAACAATCTCAGGCTGAACGAAGTGTTTATACTGCAAAACCGATGTTTTGATCTAGATCTTTTAACACTGTCATAAAAAAAGTATTTCAGAAAGAAGTCATTTAGAGGAAAAAAGACAAATTCCCATTCTAAACCTTATTGAACTCTTCCCCTACCCCTCCCTGCTTTTGACATAATTTCAGTAAAATCCAAAAATGACTTTCCAATATGCTTTTAAACCTATTGAACTGCATTCTCTCTCCAATGGAAAACGATTCGTTTTCAGTTGTTCCTGAAAGCTTGAGACTTGATAATGATAAAACCTGTAAGCCTCAAGAAAAAAAGTTATTAAGTTAAAGAAGTTGCAGTGGCTGTATCACACCACCTAAGCAGCAGTGTGATCAATCTCCAAGCAGTCTGCAACCCAAGTTCTGTGAATATT